TTAAAAAAACTTTAAAAAAAAACTTCTATATAATCACACTCTTTTATAATCACCAATTTTCTTGATACAAACTGTGTAATTATAGAGGAGGAAGACTGTATATAAATACTGTATTTCTATTATAATTAAAAATTGCATTTAGAGACTAAACATATATTTGGGTCAAAGTACAATGATTAAAAATTGTTAGAAATATAAATGCCAATAGCCATAAAAGTCTTTAATCAAGATTTTTTATTTAATACTATAATTACAAACTATAAATAAATGAAGGATGTAAATCTCCCAAATTCATAACATCCTCTCCATTTAATTTTTTTAAAAACTTTTCAGGATTTTTAAGCTTAGATTTATTAGCATTATTCAATAAATAATATTGAATTATGGATAAAATTATGGCAACAACTACAAATGATATTGCAATAGTATGACCAGTCTTATAAGCAGGAGCATCAACGGATTTGTATATTTGCGCGCTTATTACACCACCTATGTTGCCCCAGGCTACCATCATTGCACAGCCTACAGCACGTTTCGAGTCACCCGCCAGATTATTTGTTAACCTTATTATGTACATGATGGTGTTTTTATAAAAAAATTTTGTTAGAGAAATTAATTAATCCAGGACATAAATTAAAATTTTATGATAGATAGATATATTAGAGACTTACCAAGTAAGTGATGTAGGGACACATGCAAATATACCCAATCCTATAATACAAGCACCGGTATATTTCACTAAAAATAGCAAAGATTATGCATAATGAGCAGAAACATTTTTAAGGATGAATTTACAAGTAAAACACTTACAAGAAACACTAGCACTCGGTACAATGAGTAAAATGTATCCTATAATTGCTACTAGTAAACAAGACACCAAATATGGACCACGAACTCCATGACGATCAGATAGTATTGCTATTGTGATTGATGAAATACATCCAAAAATAGATGGAGGAGTGGAAAGAAGTTGGGAAATAACTAATAAAAAAAAATGGTATAAAAATAAATTATTGACGATTGTTAAATTAGAAATAATGAAGTAAAGTTATCAATGATTACCAGTATTAAATCCTAAACCGTTTACAATTGATGGAATGAAAAAACTGAAAGAATATAATGGAACAAGTATACAAAGAAATATAAACATATATATATAGATTTTCTAAATACGTATAGAAATAATAAAATTATAAAACCAAGTGTAAGTTATTTTACATAGGTTTAAGCGCAAATAATATTTTTTTTATAAGAAATTACCAAATCTCTAAAAGCTTGGAAAATTTGAGATTTATCAAAATGAGTTGTGTTAGCTTCTCCCATATCAAGTCGTAATCGATCAATTGCCAATTTTCTTTCATCTTCTGAAAGCCAAGTAGCATTTTCCGGAAAATTCGAAAGTGAAAAGTAAGAGAAAAATGCAATGACAACCGTCATCAAGCCGTCAATAAGAAATATCTGAAATTAAATAATTAAATGAAACGGTATAATCCAATTAAAAGAAACCGACAAAGTTATAAGCAAGAAATATGCATATTTACTTACCCATCGCCAACCACTCAAACCAAATCTACCATCCAAACCCGCAATAGCAAATGCTAAAAGACCATTAAATGCACCAGCAATTGTAGCACCAGAAAAAAACAAACTAATACGATAAGTTTGTTCAGATTTCTTGTACCATTTTGTAATGTAATATGTGACGCCAGGGGCAAGACCAGATTCAAAAACACCCAAAAAAAATCTTGCAGCCATCAATTGAGAAAAATTCCTTACCTTAAAACAATTCATTATTTAAATCGTGAGTTGATTAGCTTTAGTATTAAAATATATTATTATTAGCATATATATCATTAACACTTACAAATGACATTGTTGTCATTACAATACCCCACGCGATCATGAGAGTTGAAACTATAAAATGAAATGAACGATGAGAATTAAATTCACCGAACCAACTAATATATTGTATAACATATAACAATAACTCACTCCAAATTGAAGGTTTGATCTGGATTAGCAAGATATTAGATGGCACTTCAAATAGTACGTAACCTCTGCAAACGTAAAATGACACAATTTAAACACTGAAACTAAAGACAATAAAGTAGATAATTCATTTTATCTAGAATAATAGAGAAAAAAAAAGACTTACAAAAAGAATATGCCTAAAGACCAGTTATATTCATCTCCAGATAAATTGAGATCACGCTCCAAATGGGCTAATTTCGCGTTCCCAATATTGACCCTAAAACAATAACAAAAACATATACGTAATATAATGATTTTGTTACAAAAATTTTAATTAGATAAAATTTTAATTATATTAAACTACAATATATACCTATCCAAGTAACAAAGAGTATATAGAATCGTAAGCACAGGAATGATTCTTATATCAACCTTTTTCAATAATATTTTTTCATTGGCATTTGTAACAATATCATTATTTGAATTTTTTGTGAATTCAACGATCTCTTCAGGATTATTGGTTTGATTTTCCGAATGTGTAGACATTATAAGTATTGTGATACAAATCTAGAATTAACTGAGATTATGTTCGTAGTGGTAGTGATATTATCATGAATTGAAACCGATTTCGAAAGCAGGGTTTCTTCGAAAAAGAAAAGAAAATATTCGCGGACAAAAGAAATCAAACTTCTGTTATATACGAATAGCGACAAAATCACATGCAAATGTTAATTTTTATCATTTCAAGAGGTCGTGCCACCTTTTTACTTTCTTAAAACTTAATGAATGCCGCTGAGAAAACCAGTAAATCTTATTAGATAAGATTTGTAGGTTTTTTCTTGACAACACTCAAATAAATAGATACGGTATGTAGGATGTATGCACGTACGTACGTACTGTACGTAGTACTGACTAGGTTCTGCGAGTGCCCATTCCTGGTGCTATATTTCAATGGTACCGTGTCTGGAATTAGCATAATCTTAATACAAAATATCTGCTGTTTTAGATGCATATGGGAACCCACAGCAAAACAAGGCAGTGGGGCGGATTTAAAATTTGATCTTTAAATAAGTATATCTTAGAATTTAGTAATTAGAATTAAATAATTGTTATATCATTAGACTCATTTTAGTAAGATGAATCTAATAATATATAAGAATCATTTAATTTTAATTATTAAGTTTTAAAACTGCCCACTGCTTTGTTTTGCCGTGGGGGTTCCCATATATTGCATTTATATAACTTTAATTGAATAATGAATTTATTCCGATATACTTTTTTGCCTAAAATAGGAGTCGCCTAAGGGTACCCTTATGTCAAGAAAATCCCGGTCTAAAGATCACTTTCGACTCTAACCGGATCCAATAAATTACAGGATCTTGTGTAACAAAGCAACCATGAAAAACATAATAAATTGTAAAAAACGTAAATAACACAAAAATTTACTATGACAATTAACATCCGACCTCTAAGTAAAAGTTTTCAGCATTAAATTTTACTTATCTGTTATAAAATACAATTTTAAATTTGAATATATAGGAATTTTTGAGATACTACGGACCCATTTTTTTTTGTCGGAAGCTCGGGATTTTCTTGACACAAGGGTACTCTTCGGGGGTCGGGTCGGGGTCTAAAGTCATACATCCACGTGACATTTTCGTGTAAATCAACCAACAGCAATTTTACATGAATTTAATTAAAACTTCGAAAAATCAAGTGGGTAAATGACTTTAACCATCTCCTAAAATGTATGATTATGTTGTGCTTTAAGTTAATACCTCCCTGATGTTACACCTGCCTAAAATGAGGAATTAATTTAAAAAGCTAATTTCAATCGAAATGTCTAAAATTGCAATTCCAGACTGGTGTCGAGGTACGTACGTACGACATAATAACTAATGTGTAACATTAACGGTCTCTGCTGTAACGTAACAATCGTCGAATTTTTAACGATTAAAAATCATGTATTAATAATATTGATAACTAAGTATTAATGATTTTAGTATTAACTAAACATTATGTCCCATTATTAAGTTATGATAAACTACGCATAATTTTGGTTTGCATATTAGTTTATTAATTTAACTGATTCTATTCTATATATTTTTAATAAAATTCTTTAAAACTTAAATTATTAAAAATAGAATATTATTCATTTCTCAGGGGTATAGAACATGTAAGGTAAAAAAAACAGCTCAGCCAAAAATAGTTACCAGCATCATTAATCATAGTCCTATATTTAGTAGTATACGATGTATTGTGTTGTATTCTTTTTAGGTTTAACTTTCGAAACATAGCAATTGATTTCAAAGTATAATAGTAACATTTGACAATTGTACTGTACACGATAAAATTATAAACTTTTATGATAATTCAACCATTGTTTGCAAAATGTATTAGAAGTTGCGAATTAGATAAGTGTTATATGAATTGGACGAGCTACCATCAGATTAAAATATGTGCACATTGCTCTCTCAATCGATAAATAATAATTAACTATTCATATGCATGCTTCATACGTATGCCTGATATATAATTGCAGTGTTGCTGCGCTGATCTGCTACCAAACTATACCTATTGTTTATCTTTGATGCATGGTTTATGAATTATACAAAATAAGAAGGATTAAACCTAATATAGCTGACCAATCATAGTGTGCAGCAAATAACCATTTACTATAAATTATTAATAAATTCTGGTGCCAAATGGAAAGTGTTGGCTATATTAAATTTAATCCGTTCTGAAATACATTACGGACTATACCAAGGATGGCAATGCTTATATATCCAATTGATTTGGTCTGATTTGGACATAAGCAATTTTATATTCCCAATTGCCGTTTTGCTGATTTGTACGTTAGTTTAAAGTTGTATTTTATGTCGAGTGTTGCAATTTAACGATGTGATTGTGTAAATATATATTGTTATGGTTCGTTTGTGTGAAGCTATGTGAGACTGTCGTTGTTTTCCAAAGGATTAGTATTTAAAATACGTTTCAACAGTTCAGTTAATAAAAGCAATGTTCCTAAGAGCTTACGATATAATAAATTAACGTTATAATACGGTATATTTCTCGTTAATTTTCATCAATCATAATAATCATGATTCATTCGATTAAATAAGACGCTAAGGGATTCAATCCAGGGTTAAACCTGCAAACTGTTGTAACAGTATCATACGATCGAATTTTTTGGGATGGCAAATCTCTACTAATTCTATCAGCCTTCTATTCCAATCAAT